CCTAAGGCTACTCTGGGTCTGAGTAAAATTGTGATATAATGACACGTCTATCAAAGGGAGGGATATTATTTTTTATATCAGCATATTTGTTTTTATTTCATATTATTTATTTTTTTAACTAATATTTAAAAAATATATAGTTTATATAGTTTTGTTTACGTTTTAACAAAAATTTAGGGAATCTCCGCTTCCTGTGTTAACTTTTATTCAGGATCATGTGTGGTTCGGGACGCCTCCGGCTCTCTGAACGACACATTAGCTTCTTCAACACCCATGGAGTCCTGTGTTGGTTTATCGTGTCAGTATGGATGGGACTTCTCAGAGTGCATCAATAATAAAACCTGCACCTATGGTCTAAGCAATTACTATCAGGTGAGTACAGCTCTGGCACTGTACACTGACCTTCCATCCCATTTGTAAAAAGGTTTGCTTTGGTGCAAAAGTTATTTGAATTTATTAAAAATAACAGAATAATTGTTTTTAAATTTAGATGTCAGATGAGTTAAAAAGAGATAGACAAAGGTAGATGATGGGGTGCAGGGCAGTGAAAAGGAGATGTGAAATCTACATCGGTTTAAATCTAATAAGGATGATCATATGATGAAGATGTTTCTAGTACTTTCTGGTAGATGTTAATCGAATTAGAGAATTAAGCTATTGTTCAGAACTGATTTTTATCAATATTCCGCTGATGCATTAGTTTTGATAAGAGGAGAGAGTTTAATAAACAAAACCTTTTCTATGTTTAGACACTTAGCATGGTGTCAGCCTTCGCCCCTCTCATTACTGCTGGTATATTTGGAGCAACCCTTTCTTCAGCTTTGGCATGCCTGGTTTCTGCTCCCAAAGTTTTCCAGGTACAAACATATTTTCTAAAAACACAGCTCTAGCCGCATATAATATGATATTTTGGTTTTATGTAACAGAGATATCGTTGCTTTTGTCTTCTTTGTCATAGTGTCTGTGTAAGGATCACCTTTACCCTCTCATTGGCTTTTTCGGCAAAGGTTATGGCAAAAACCAAGAACCCCTCAGAGCTTACCTGCTGACATACATCATTGCCTCCTGTTTTATTATCATTGGTGAGTCATTGAGGTCGATTTTAATGTAATTACTCACCAAATCTTACAGCATCCACAGGTATTGTAAAAACTTTATGGCGATCTTAATTTATAAAATCTATTCTTTAAAACCTCAAAATATGATATACTATATAATATATATCTATTATGTAGATATATTGTAAGCAAAGCAGGAAGGAATCCTTTTTTTCTTTTGGAATAAAGTTGAATTTCTTGTTAACTGAACATCCTTTGCTTTTGAAAACATCCTTTGCATAGTGGATCGACAAGTTTAACACTGATAGAAACTATTTGCTGACATAAAAAAGAGGACCATCAGCTTAGTTACCAATTGTTAGTGCCCTAATGACTGCTTATAGTTCAAAGGGGGCTGAGTCATGTTCGCAATAAACAGCATTAAAAGACGGGCAATTGGTCCCGGAGGTCTCCACCCCTCGTTAACGACGGGGTTTCTCCTCGCCTTCACTCCTCTCTCAGAGCAGCATGTCTCCCTGTCCAGCAGGAGAACGTCTTCATCAGTAGCTATCCCTTTATTTTGTTTTTCCTGATGTATAACTGATGACAGACCTCCTGGGACCTAACAGCATAGACAAGTTACTCTATTTGCACCAGGTGACCGGATCTTTGGGTCAAATCAAACTTTGCAATCGGTCTCCGCCAAGTGACATCAATTGTTGATGGACCTTTATTTCTTAAAGTTACAAGGGGGGGAACAAATTATAGCAGGCCACCTGCTATAATCTGTTCCCCCTGTCTAAATCAGGCAAAAAAGGAGCCATTTGTGAACTGTCCGTGTGCTTCCAGTGACTTATATGCTTTGAATTCCTCGC